TACACAACAGTGATTCCGTAAGATCAGAAAGGAGCTGAACAGTGAGCTTCACCCTGTGACAGTGCCAGGCCACATGTTTCTCAGGTGTTTGTAGTTTGCTGTTGTAAACAGTCCTGCTGTGGCCGTATGAAAGGACACGGGCCGCTATGTATAGTCCAGTACTCGATCATGATCATGAATGCTGGTGTCACTGGTATATGTGTTCGCTGTAGTAACTTTTTAGTCTTTATTTGTGTGGATTTGTGTTTTCTGCACTGAGGCTTGAATCCAGGGCCTCCCATGCTCAAGGCAAGTGCTGGACCACTGAGATCTGTCCCTGTAGATACAGGAAAAGAAACCCCCAGCCTGCCAGGTTTCAGGTGTGAGTTTGTGTTCTCTAAAATTGAAGAATGAACAACAGAGGTTAAGAGCAAAATATATTTATTGAGAGAAAGGAAGCGTTTATCTAGCAGAGAGACAGAAGGGGTCCTCAGTGGGCTGCCAAAGGCTGTCTTTTTTAGGGACTTTTATAGGGTAAAACTACCAAGGTGGGGAAAACATGGGAACTCGCAAGGTGGGCCTGAGGTGGGACAGAACTTCAGTCAACCAATAAGGTTAATTGCTCAGGTGAAATTGATTAAATCAGGGACAAATGGGGAAGCGAGTCATATAGCAAGCGGGCATGCTTAAAGAGCAGTGACTCTTCCTGTAGGGGTTGGGATGGTGACTCCTGGCTTCCTCAGGATGACGGAGACTTATTTAGAATATCAATCCTTACTATGTGTGTGTACTTGTTTGACCTTTTGTCTTGAGATCTGGCCCACAGCTGAGGTACCTATCTCTCTCACTGATGCAAGGTATCTGGCCTTCTGCACTGGTTCCTTCGAGGGCCCAGTTCTGCCTGACTGCCTGTAATATTTCTATGTAATTCAGTTGCCTGTAACACTGTCCCAGAAGAAAATATTTTTGAAGCTGGGTGTGGTGGCATATGCCTGAGATCCTAACATTCTGGGAGGCTGAGGCAGGAGGATCACAAGTTTGAGTCCAGCCTGAGTAATTTAGCAGCTTACAAAGACCCTGCTGTCTTAAAATTAATAATAATAATAACAATAATAATAATAAAATAGTTGGGAATGTAGCACAGTGTGCAAAGTCCTGGGTTCAGTCCCCAGCACCGTGTAGGAAAAGCTTTTGTGGAGCCATACAATGCGTTTGTGTCAGCCCTGTGTGCAGCGCGTAATATTTCTACTCCTCACAGGGAGTCTGTCCATGAGCAGAACAAGTCTTCAATCCTTTTTCACCCCCTCTCTGTCCCTCTCCCTCTCTCCCCCATCTCTTGGTCCTCTTCCCCTTGGAGAAAGATTGTCCCCCTGCTTCCTATTATGTATCTTTTAATTTGCTCGTCATTGATACTTTGAGTTTCTCAGATAAGAGACACCGTGTGATATTTATGCTTGCCTGTCTGATCTGTTTCACTTAACATTATGGTCTCAAAGCACATCCATTTCCCTTCAGATGACTCAGAGTTGCCCTTCTTTATGCCAGCGTGGGCTCCGTGTGTGTAAATTCCGCTTTCCTTTATCGACCCATCTGCTGACAGACGTAGCGTCCGCTTGCAGGAGTTAGCGTCTGTGGTCTGTGCTGCTGTACACACGGGCGCGCGTGGATCAGGGTAACACGGTGTCTCTGATTCTTTGAAAGGCAGGCAGGAGATAGGTGGGTTGGACGGAATCCCCAGCTGCAGTTTTGGGAGGAATCTGCCTCCTGATTTGCACTGTGGTTGCTTATTCCCTGCAACAAAGCAGAAACAAACCCTCCCCCCGCACCGCCAATGTTTGTTGCTATTTGATTTCTTGATGAGGGTCATTCTTTCTGGGGTAATTACAGAAGAGTCAAAAAGTTTCAACATAGGGGGCTGGGGATTTAGCTCAGCGGCATAAGCGCCTGCCTTGCAAGCAGGCAGTCGTGAGTTCGATCCTCGGTACCGATAAAAAAAAAAAAAAAGTTTCAACATAAATAAAAAGTTTACAAGGTAAAAAAAAGTTACAGCGGTGACCTGGAGTCCCCTGACTGTGGTTCCAAATATTTGGGAGGCCGAGGCTGGAGGACAGGTGAGCTCAGAGGTTCAAGACCAGCACACTGAGACTCCTCTCAAAAGAAAGTAGTAATAATAATAAATTTAAAAACCACTGCATGCCCACAGCCCCCATTTGCAGGGAAGGACCCGCAGGGGACTTGCTGCCCTTTATCTCAGGGGCTCCCCACCCAGCTAGGTGTGCAGCCGGCCACCCACCAATGTTATTCTCAGGGCAGATTCCTGGCCCTACAGCCCTCCCAGAAAGCCAGGGGAGCACATGGGCGGTCACAGAGTTGGGAGGAAGGAGGCTGAGGTGAGGCGTGGAGCACCCCTAACCCCAACCACAGGGACTCTGCGGGGACCCCACTGGGCCAGACTGTGCCTCCCCTGGGTGGGGGTGGATACAGTGACCAGCCCACCCTGGGAGCAGGTGCAGTGGAGACTCGGGCCAGAGCCAGGAGGTTCATCTTACCAGGGGTGGCAGGGAGCAGACTCAGAAACTACAGACGTTCGGCTGCTACAGTCTGATGGATGCCCAGGATGGCTGCTTCCTTTCCTAAACCCAGGGAGAGGGAGAAGATGGACCCGAGTCAGGATCTCCCTTCTGCCCGGATTGCTTGGGACCCCAATTTAGGCTTCCATGGAGGGGCCTGGAAATCCAGTCAGAGGTCAGGTGTGGGCTGGGGGCTTGGAGGTGGGCGTGAGCCGCCTGCAACAGACCCCTGCGGGGCCAGAACACCCCTCTTCGACTTGGCCACAAGGAGGTGTCCTGCAGGGCCACTGGGCTGGCTGCCTCTTGAAAGCCTGCACAGCCTGGGGGAGGGAACAGCAGGAGGCAGAAGTAGAGGTCAGGCCAGCACTTGGGAGGCTGAAACAGGAGAATCATGGAGAGTTTATGCTCAGCCTGCGCTACATGGTGAGTTCAAGGCCAGCCTGGCTTCCAAAGTGAGACCCTGTTTCAAAAAGCAAACAAAAAAGTTACTCTTTCTAGCCAGGTGTGGTGAAGCATACCCATCATCCCAGCACTCTGGGAGGCTGAGGCAGGATTGTGAATTCAAGTGTCAGGTGCATGATTTAGTGAGACTCTATCTCAAAAAAAATTGAGTGAACATATAGCTCAGTGTACAGGCCCCAAGTTCAGTGTCTAGTATCACATACTCCCCCGTGCGCCCTCCTGTACCCCATTAACCACGCTTCCATCCCTCCTCACACTCTCCCCAGCCTCATTGATGCCTATCACACCCCCTCCTTCTGCAAGATCCACTTTTTAGCTCCCACATAAATGAGATCTTGCGGCCCTGGACTCGTGTCCTCCATTTCCACCCATGTTGCCAAGGCTGCGAGGATTTCATTCTTTGGTTTTGTTTTTTCAAAACGAGGTCTCACCGTGGAGTTCAGGCTGGCCTTGCACTCGCTGTGTGCTCTGGCCTGTGTCTCACTGTCCGGCAAAGCCTGGCTGGGTCACAGGCGGGGCTTTCTCAGCAGTGGCCGGGTCTGCAGTGTGCGATGGTGAGATTGATTCACGGTGCAGGGCTAGGCGCAGGGTCACTAGGATTAACAGCATGAGGGCTCCCCGCCCTGAGTAGCCGGGTGACAGAAGGGACGGGAGGCTCTGGTCCACCCCTTGGTGCTTGGCTACCTTCTGCCTGCCGGGAACGGTTTCTGCCAAGCTACTCTCCTTGGAGCCAGCCGATTATGGAATGGAACTTCTACAAACTCTGAGCTAAATAAACCTTTCCTCCCTTAACTTGTGGACGTGGCATATTTTGTCCCAGCAACCGGAAAGTAACCAAGACACTATGTGTCCCAGGCTGGCCTTGAACTTGTGGCAGGCTTTCTGCCTCGGCCTCCTGTGTGCTGGGATCACGGGTGTGCGCCGCCATGGCATGCCTCAGGACTGTCTTCTTCTTTATGCCTGAGCAATACTGCACTTTGTGTCCACACCACACGTCCTTAGTCCACTCACCCATCGATGGCCCTGCCGTTGCTTCTGTACCCTGGCAGCTGTGAAAGGCATTGCTGCTGCATGAACATGCATGTGCCACTGTCTCCCTGAAAACTGATCTTGTTGTAGGAAAAAAAAATGCTATCACACTGAATGGAAGACTCTGCACCGAGGAGTGTGGAAGGCACTGGGGGCTGAGTCTGAGTCCAAATCACCAGCCCCAAGTCAGCTTAGAGTTCAGTTTAAATATGTTTTGCAATTAGGAAGTACAAGGCTGATGGCAGGTTATTGCGTGATTGGTTCCATGGATTAAGTCTTACGCGGTCAAGCAGGCTTGTTCTTTTTTTTTTTTTTTTTTTTCCTCTTTTTATCGGTACCGGGGATTGAACTCACAACTGCCTGCTTGCAAGGCAGGCGCTTATGCCGCTGAGCTAAACCCCCAACCCCCTCTTCAACTTCTTTCAGTAATTTCATAATTCCCATTGTAGATGATCCTTCATATATTATTATGGGTTTTTTGTTTTGTTTTGAGACAGGATCTTGCTATGTAGTTCGGGTTGGCCTTGAACCCTCACTACGTAGCCCAGGCTGGCCTCACAGCGAGCGACCCTCCTGCTCCAGCCTCCCGGGTGGGTGCTGGGGTTACAGGTGTGCACCACCCTGCCTGCCATCATCATCATCACCATCGTCATCGTGGACCTTGTGCCTAGGATTGCTTCCTTGATTTTTTTTTTCAACAAATTTGCTACTGGTGTATAACAGAAAGCTGTTATTTTTGTATCTTTTGTATCCTGCAACCTTACTGAATTCATTTACCAATTCAATGGCTTCAATTCAATCTCTAGTTTTTTCCAGTATATAAAAAGTTGTATCACCTGCAAACATAATTGGACTTCATTTTCTACTTCGGTTCATTCCCTGCCAGATTCCCTCCTCTGGCTTTATTTCTCTGGCCAGTGCTGGGCTTTCCTAACTGTCTGTCTTCATCCTTGGTTCCAGATCTGTTCACAAGTGCCCACAAGGACTGCCCCATGCCCCGGGGCACAGCCCCCCTCACCGCAGACCTGCCTCCCGGCCACCCTCCTGCCACTGCGGCAGGCCATGTCACTGGCAAGGTAAGCAGGCGCCCTGTCCCAGCCTCCTCTGTGTCCCCACAGCTGCCCACAGTGAGCAGAAGCCATTCCAGGGCCCCTTAGGTTTGCAGCTCAGCGTGAGGAGGGGCTGGATGGAACCGGGCATCCTGGTACTAGGCCAGGTGTGTTTAGAAAAGTCAGCCCTGCCCTGAAGGTCTTTGCACCCAGGTCATCTCAGGCCCACAGACAGCGGGCTCCGAGGTAAGTCCGTGGCTCCTCAGCAGCCTGCGCCCCCACCCCGAGAGCAGCTCGGGCGCATTCTCTACACAAGTTCCTTAAGTCCAGGTGCGGTGTGGAGCCCTGCCCCAGAGAACTGTGGCTCGAATGTACCAGTCAGCCTGACTGCTTTCTGGCCTTTATCTGGGAGGGTACACATGGAGCATTGCGACAGGCACTGTGCCCTGTGGTGTCACAATCTGTGCCATCGATGACATGGTCACCCAATGGCCCGAGATGTTGGGTCAGCAGTCTACAGATACCCAGATCAGAGCCCACCTGCTTGCCACCTCCCTCCCAGGGCCACTGCTGTCCCCTCCTCCTTTCTCTGAGTGCCAGGAGACACCAGGGCACAACCCATGGGCAGCCTGTGACCTCGTAGAGCATCAGACACCCCCACTTCCACCCCAGCTCAGGACGCAGCCGTGTGGCAGCTGGGCCCTCTCTGACCCTTTCTCCTCCTACCGTAGGACAAACAGCAGGATTTCTGCTGGGATCCTTGGCAGGTCAGTGCAAAGGCCCTGGTGAACACCACTGCCCTCCTCCGCTGTGCCCACGGTCCTACCCACCCTGGGGACGAGGGGGACTGGGTTGTCCTCCCTGGCTTGGTGGGCTGGATGGTGGGAGTCCTGCTGCCATGGAGAAGCGGCCCCCACCCTCCCTGCTCACCTCACCCCCTCACTGCAGAGGTGCTTCCAGACCACGAACGGCTACCTGTGTGACTCCACAGCCCGCGCCAGCAGCTACAGTGTGGCAGCCCTCGCCACCTCGTCCCTCGTGGGTAGGCTCCAGCTGTGTCCTCCTGGACAGAGCTGCGGGAGGGAGCGGGCAGGGGGCAGGCCTGCTGGATTCAGTGCTTTCTAAACACCAGGCTCGTGCGGGCAACAAGGTGGTAATGTTTTAGGGGTTCTGCTTCCTGGTGTTACATTACTGGGGTGCTCAGATTTCTGGATTTTGCTGGGCCTTCATCCTCCTTGGTCAGCCCTTGACTCCTCTGGGGGACCCTGGCAGTTCTCCGGGAAGGGTGCAGCTTGAGCTGGGCTGGCTGGGACCCCGGCGGCCCCAGGCCATTGTTCTAGGTCGCTAGCGGCCCTCTCGAGCCTGAGCTTTCCTCCTCTGAAACAGCCTTAGGGTGCTGGGCCCCCCTCTTGCTCACGACCATCCCCCACCCCCAGCCCTTCATGTCCTTCACAGACACACCCTTTTTTGGGCAGTACTGCCCCTTCAGGCTGAGCTACACCCCTGGCCCTTTTGTGTTTACTTTGTGAGACAGGGTCTGGCTAAGTCACTAAACTGCTGAAATTGACTTTGAAATTATGATCCTCCTGTCTCAGCCTCCCAGAGCGTTAGGATTACAGGCATGTGCCTGTGCTGTCGGGGTTCGGGGACCCCCAGATCTGTGCTCAGTCATAGTGAACGGAGACACTGACTCATTTCTGCCTGCCCTTCTCCGGCACCCTCCGTGTCCAGCCGTCTACCCCTGGAGTCCTCTCCATCTGCCCTGCCCTTCCCTGTCCCTTGCTGGGTCACTGTGTGGCCCCTAATGACCCTGTCTCTACCCTCGACTCGGGACACCCAATGAGGATGCTCTGCCTCGGCGGTGGGTCTGCCCCATCTCTGCTGACCCTTCTCCTGTGGTGGCCTCTGCGAGACCGTCTGGGCCCAGCCTGGCTCTGCAGGCCCCAGGCTCTTCGGTCCCCAGCCTGTCTGCGATCCTAGGGTTGGGGTTTCCCGTGTCTCACCCCAGAGGTGATGGCTCCCTAAGGACTCTCCAATGCCTTCATCCACCTGATCAAACCCACCCCCTTCAGAGCCACCTCCTCCTCCAGGCAGCCCCCTCTGCCTGCTTCCCAGCTGCCATCAGCTGGAGGAGCCTGCAGCACAGGACCAGCATCATCAGGGGAGTGTGACCCATCTGCAGAAGAAGCAGGGCTGCTCCCTGGGCTGGGACATGGAGGGTGGCATGGCTCTAAGTGAATCGGGGGCACAGAGCTGACCAGAGCAAGGGCAGGGTGGGTACATGGAGGCGTCAGCCACAGGGTAGCATGCGGCTTTGGAGTTCAGGACTTGTTGCCCAGGAGGAACTGGATGATATTCAGATGTGGGGTGCAGGCTACGTATGGGTGGGGCTGAGGACACTGGGTGCTGGGGCAGTTGTCACCCTCCGTCCCCGTGGCCCCAGGCGTGGTGCAGAGCATCAAGGACCACATCACCAAGCCCACGGCCATGGCACGTGGCCGCGTGGCACACCTCATCGAGTGGAAGGGCTGGAGCGCCCCACGGGCGGGCTGGGCGCCGACCCCGGCGGAGGACGAACACTACTGCTGCCTCCCGGACGAGCTCCGAGAGGCACGCTTCGCCGCAGGTCAGTGGGGTGGGACCTGGCCCCCACGCGGGCAGAGGGGGTGGCGGGGTGGGCGGCAGGGGACGTGGCATGGAGTGGGTGCCCGATCCCAGCCGTGTCCCATGTCCCTGCTGAGCGGGGCCTCGCTGTCCCCCAGGGGTAGCTGAACAGTTTGCCATCACAGAGGCCACACTGAGCGCCTGGTCCTCGCTGGACGATGAGGAGCTGCGCCCTGAGGACAGCCCCGGGGACACTGTCCAGCTCCATGGTACACGCAGGGGTGTGGCAGGGTGGGCAGGACCATCCGGGATTCTGGATGCCCACTCGGATGCAGGGGCCCCCACAGCCCTTCCCTCCTGTGAGACAGACTGCGACCCTCACCCAGCCATGGCACAGGGATGACCTGAGCAGGACAAGTGCCACTGTACCCAACGCTGCCCATGCACTAGTCCACTATCTCCACGGCAGCCTGAGGGACAGGTCCCATTGTCCCCACTGTGCAAATGAGGAACCTCGGGCACTAAAGGGTCGAAGTCACCAGACTCACAGCCAGCAGCATCAGAGCCAGATCTGGAGTCACCCCCAGGAACAACCTCCTGGCTCCCCTGCTTCCCTGTCCGTCCTCCCTCCCTCCCTCCCTCCTTCCCTCCCTCCCTTCCTTCCTCCCTCCCTTCCTTCCTTCCCTCCTTTCTTCTGCCCACCCATCCCTTTTTTTCTTGCAGTACCGGGGATTGAGCCCAGGGCATTCACACCCGGCTACATCCTCAGCCATTTTTTTATTTGGGACACGTTCTCCATAAGTCATTAATTGCCCAGGCTGGACTCGAACTTGCAGTCCTCCTGCCTCAGCTTCCCAGAGTGCTGTGGTTACAAGGATGCACCACGGAGCCCAGCTAGCTCACCTCCTTTCTAGGACCCCGAATTCCTACAGGGGGCATCAGCGGGCATGGGTCCTGGGCAATGCCCATGCTAACCTACCACGTGATCCTCCCTGTGACCAGGAGGGCCAGACCAGGCCCCAGGGGCACTGGGTCCCCATCCTTAGAGGGGTCTGGCTCCATTTCCTGCTCTGTGCTACTCCACCCCGTCAGAGGGAGGAGACAGGGCTCAGAGAGGTTCAGCGACATGCCCATGGGGACCCTACGAGGCAGGTCCCATGCCCCTTGCCTCCCCCCACACCCCGTGGAGGGCACGGAGCAGCCGCAGGTCCCCATCCTGTCCCGTACCCCATTTGCCTTCCAGACCTGGAGAGCATCTATCTTCAGGACAGCCTTCCGAGCAGCCCCGTGGGAGATGACAGCCTCCTGGCTCTCTCGTCCCCAGGCCTCTCCCCTGAGGACTGGCCCTCACCCGAGGAGATCCCCATCACGGCTGCCAGCCCCCACCACCTCAGCCCTGAACAGCAGCATCACAGGCAGCTGCCAGGGGGCCCAGGGCCCAGCGGTGGGGCCCCCCTGCAGGGCTCCCTGCCCTCGGTGGACAGTGGCTCCCTCTCTGAGGAGGACGAAGTGTTCTACAACTGAGCGGGCAGGGTGCAGCACCCCCACACCTCCTTGGGCCTGGTGGGCAGCGTCTGCAAACAAGGCCTGGAGCCTGGGCCTCTTGGGACTCCACGGGGCAGGTACCCCTCGTGGTGGACCATTCTGTGCCTCCTGGACCTGCGCCCCGCGGTGGGAGCCAAACCCCCCTTCTCCTCTCAGCCCAGTGGGCCCCTTGCTCTCTGGAGATCTCACTCTGTGAGCTCAAAGACTCCACAGACACCAGGGCAACCATCCCGGCCCCAGGGAGCTTGCAGCCGTGTCCCCAGGCAGACAACATCACAGACGGGACCAGGAGGCCCCTGTGGAGTAGGGCCTGGGGACCTGGCCTGCCTGCACCCGGCTCAGCCCGACTCCTGGGTGCCTGCTCCATTGAAGGCAGGTAGCCTCTTCTGGAAGCTAAGCACCCTTGGGCACTTGGAGGGTCTGTCTGTCCCTCACCCTCTGGACCTGCTTCCGCAGTGCCCAGCTCCCTAACCCAGGGAATCCCTTCCCTTCCTCGCACTGCCTAGCTCCCCCTGGTTCTCCGGAGACATTAAAGTGGTGGCTATGCCCTGATGAATCGGCCTGGTCTCTGCTAGGGCAGGGGTGTCCTCCAGCCCTTGGGCAAGGGAACAGCATGGGGCAAAGACATGCAGCTTCTCCCAGGTGGGAGAGAACCCCGGGGCTGCCCAAGGCTCGTGCACCCTGAGGTGCCATTCCTCGGGACCCATTTATCAGCCTGCCAAGGAACGGACAGGAGGAGGCCGGGGAGGGCAGGGAGCTGAGGGCAGAGGAGGCCAGCAGGCAGCTCCAGGAACCGCTTTATTCTCCGGAGTTGGGGTGGGAGTCTGCCCCGCCAGGGGGCGCCAGAGTCCGCCCTCGTCGCCCGTAGTGTGGTTTGAGGACCCCACATTGAGCTCCCTCCCCCCCCCCCCCCGCTGTCACCAGTTGTCTGCCCAAGAGAGCTTTGTCACTCGAGGCAGTCGCTGTTGTCCCCCCCACCATGGGACCCAGTGACACAGGGACTGTGGGGGCTTCTCGGGGCCAGGCTGGAGCTGGGCTGGGTGGAGGGGAAGAGGCAGGGGCTGTCGCTAGGGCCACCAGGTGTCCGTCTGTCTTGCCAGGCCGGCTCACTTCGGGGCTGGGGGGTTTGTCAGGTTGGAAATGGCCTTCTTCAGCTGCAGCACAGAGAGGGGTGCGTGAGGAAGGGGGGGGGGATGGGGACGGCCGTCCTGGAAGCCCAGAGAACCGCTGCAGGCGACAGGAGCAGCTGGGCTCAGAGACACGGTGGGCCACGAAGTGGGGCTCATCAGAGTCCTGGAAAGTCCCCAAACTTTGAAAGGGAAGAAGCAGCCCCCCCCCACACACACACACCTCCTCTGCTCTGGCCCACCCTGGAGACCCTGGTACCTCCACCCAGGACACGAAGCCCACAGCTCTGCCCCGCGACGTCACGAAGAGCGCCTGGAGGTTCAACAGCTCGAACAGGTTGTGCGCCTGGCAGGGGAGGTGAGGAGGAGAAGCTGGAGCGCAGGGTGCGCCCCTTTGGGGGGCCGCAGGAGGAAAGACGGGGACACGGCCTGCGAGGTCTACTGTGGCCGCTAGGGGCCGCCAGAGTCCACTCAAGGAGCAGGGCGGGGAGTCAGGTGGGAAGACCGTTTCCAGCCTCAGCTCCAAGAAGGGGGCATCCTCGGTCCGGGCCTCTCGGGCCATGCTCTGCCTTGAGGGCCTAAGTAATTAACCCAAAACCACACCCAGAGAATGTGGGGGACGACGGAAAACTGAAATCCACAGGTCCTTTGATGCAACACTTTTTTGGGGAAAAGGGAGTCTGAAACCAGAGTCCAAAACCACTGAGCTACCCTCCTGCCCATTTTATTTATTTTGAGACAGGGTCTCACTAAATGGCTTGAACATGTGGTCCTCCTGCCTCAGCCTCCTGAGTAGCTAGGGTTATAGGTGTGCACCTCCATGCCCGGCTGATGTGATGCTCTGAACCACTGTCTCTCACCCAGTGGCTTGTTTCCTGAGCCCTCGCTTCCTTAGTCTCCCAGCATCACAACCTCGGCAGGGAGGGGCCCCAGGTGCCCACCCTTGGGTGAAGAGACAGCACCCCTGGGGGCGGAGAAGCTGGAGCTCAAGTCTCCCCTCCACCTAGGCCACCGGGTCTGCTGTGCTTACCTGGTGCAGGGTGGTGTCAGGGGACAGCTGCAGGGTCACTGGCTCAATGGGGCAGCCCTCAGCCAGGATATCCTGAAGATGCCGCTGGAGACAGAAAGGGACAATGGGGTCCCGGGCCAGCCTTTCCCTCCTCTCCCCAGGCTGCCCTCCAAGCCACCCCCTCCAGCCCTGTCCAGGACCCACCTGTTGCCCCAGAGCCCAGGAAGGTGGCGGAGCCAGGAGGGCCTGCAGCAGCTGGGCCCTGCGCACCGTGCCCACTAGGATCTGAGACTCTGGTAGGTGGCGAGGGAGAGGGGGTTATGGAGGTGGAACTCACTCCCCACAGTGTGCCCGGCACAAGGCTCAGCTCCCGTCCAGGAGGAAAACTGTGGTCTGTTATAACCCTTCTCACCCATCTTACAGGACAGCAAACTGAGGCACGAGGACAGTCACTAGCTGTCCTGCTCAAGGTCACTCAGCCTCGGTTGAAGAGTGTGGCGGGTGAGGATGCCTCCTGGTCCCCACCGAGATCCCTATGTTACAGGGCCTCTCAATAGGAGCTGCAGACGTTGGCATGGAGACACCAGGGCATTACCTGCTTCTCATAGGACAGGAGGCTCAGCGTCCAGCTCAGGGTGATGAGGGAGTGAACGCTGCCCAGAGGCCGCGGGGCTCTGAGGCCTTCCTGCCCCGGCTCTCACTAGCCCTGGGGTAGTGGGGGTAGTGGGGGTTTGAAGGGCCACCTTGGTTCCTTTGCTTTCTGTCCAGCAAAGTAAAAACTTGGGGGCTGGGCTGGGGTGCGCCTCTGTCTCGGTCTCCTTGGAGAGCACTTGCCCGGCACACAGGAGGCCCCAGGTTCTACCGTGCAGCTGAGAGCTCGGGGTCCCCGCACCCCTGCTCGCTCCTGTCCTAAACAAAGCTGTTTACTCCTGGGTGCCGGGACCTCTGTGCTCCCTGTGGCTCCAGTGTAGAAGAAAACTTCGTCTTTGGCTGGGGATTTAGCTCAGCGGCATAAGTACTTGCTTTGCAAGCAGGTGGTCATGAGTTCGATCCCCGGTACCGATAAAAATGAAAAAGACAAAAAAAAACAAAAAAAAAAACAAAAAAAACAACTTTGTCTTTGAGGTCAACGCCTTGTTTTAGGAGGTGAAGCCCCTGGGGTCACCCACGTGCCAAGTCCATGTCGCCTGCTCTGCTGCATGGAGCACCAGCCCTGGGGCGAGGGCCTCTGGCCACTCTGGCCAGTGTGGATGGGCCACAAGTGCTCATGTTCCTCCAAGGGTGGTTACAGGGACAACCTGTGTGGTTGTGCAGGTCCCTCACTGCGCCAGATGCTGACCCAAAGGGCAAGTGGGGACCCAAATCCAGGCATGCTACAGTTGCCATGTGTGTGCCTCATCTCATTTGCCCCAAGGGGTCCGGTGGGCTGGCAGTAACCCCGACAGGGCTGCTTAGATCCGCCCTTGAGATTTAGCTTATGCATCTTTTTCACCCCCTTGTACTGGGTGTTGAACCCAGGGCCTTTGCACCGAGCTGCATACCCAGCCCTAAATATATACATATGTATATATATTTATATATTTTTTGAGAGTGAGTGTCACTAAGTTTCTAAGTTGCCAGGGCTGAACTTGAACTTGCCACCCTCCTGCCTCAGCCTCCCAGAGTGCTGGGATTACAGGTGTGTGCCAGTGCACCCAGCTGCCCTTGTCTGGTAACCACAGCCACCATTCATTTATGGTTCAAAAGATGCTGTCGTCATGGCAACAGGAGGACAAGGGCCTGGGGAAGCTGCTCCCAAGCCCCCCCCCCCGGCCCGCCCCCAAGGGTGGCTCTTGTGTCCATGTCAGTGATGGGGCGACAGAAGCTCAGAGAAGCAAAAGGATTTGTCCAGTGCCACAGCTAAGCCGGGGCCCAGACTCAAACCCACACACGTGCCCTGCTCCTCCCTGTTGGCCCTGCCCCTGTCCCCAGCCCCTGTCCTCCTGCCGGCTACCTGTGCTCTCCACCAGCGGGTACTCGGCCACCTCTGTGGAGGTCACGACCTTGATAACCTCCTGCAGCGGTGCGTCCCTGGCCAGCGTGGTGATGGAGCTGGTCATGAAGTGCCCCACGTTCACCAGGTGGGAGCTGCGGGCAGAGGGTGCTCCTGTCAGGTCCCCAGAGTCTCTAGGGAGCTTGGCTGGGAAGAGGCCTGAGACTCCTCACGGAGGGCCCAGGCCTGCACCTGAGCCTCCCAGACCCCCCCAGCCTAGCTCTTTTGCTTTGATTTATCCCATCAGCCCTCTGGAAAAACTCCACAGGGAGACAAGTTACACAGCAAAGTCAAACCAACTCTGAAGTCTAGAAACCTCTGGCTGGGCACCCCCATCTGACAGATAGGGAAACTGAGGTTTGGAGATGAACCTTTAACCAGAGCTCTCAGAGCCTCCAGACCCTGCCTCTCTGTGGATAGGAGCTGTTGGGTCCCGTGTGGTCCAGGGAAAGCATGGGGGCCCCCATTCTGGCTCTGCCCCCCACTTCCCACATGCAGTAAGGGCAGGGAGGGAAGCCCCCATCCAAAGCTGGTGCTGGCTCTGTGCTGTGCACTGAGCTGGACCATGCAGGGCCCTGGGGGACACAGGGACCAGAGGACACCATGGCCAAGGTTAGCGACCAGGGCATTTTCTTTTGGGGACCCCCAGCCCCCTCTGGGTTCCACCCTGCCCCCTGCAGCAGCTCCTCACTTGATGTAGCGACCCCGAATCCAGGGCAGGAAGGGCAGCTTCTTGACGATGATGGTGCCATCGTAGAAGGAGGGCTGGCAGCTCTGGGCGATGGCGTTGGCCGCCAGCACGCACATCAGCACGGGCAGCCCGTGCACCATCTGGCCGGTCATCTCGAAGGCCAGCAGCGCCGTGGAGATGGAGTGGGTTACGGCCCCCGAGAAGGCCGCCGCCCCTGGGGGAATGGAGGTGAGGGCTGGGCAGGCAGCACGGGCCAGGAAGCACTGCTGGGCTCCGCTGGGCATGGTGACCAGAGGACAGACAAATGCCAAGAGGGATCTCGGCTCAGGGAGGCACCAGTTCCATGAACCAGGGGACAGATACCCCTCTGTGCCCTATGGAGCCTCCAGCCGACTCTCCAGGTATGGCACACACCCGACCACCCGGCCAGCAGCCCTGAACTCACCAGCCAGGGCGTAGCTCCCTGGCATGATGGGGTTGACGACGCCTCCAGCCACGATGCCCTCCGGGAAGGCGACAGACAGGGCCTCCCCCAAGAGGCGCCCGATGGCAGCTCCTGATCACAGACTCGGGATGAAGGGCCAGGCCTCTGTCCCGGGGGAGGTAGACCAGGAGCCATGGGCCCACCCCTGCACCCCGGAACCTCTCAGACCCTCAGCACCCTGGGCTCACCGTAGACGAATATGGGGAAGAAGTACCCAGCAGGTATGGGGATTGTGGTGGCCAGAATCAGCATCCAGAACTGGGCAGGCAGAGGGCAGAGGGCAGAGGTTAGAGACAACAGTGCCTACCCCATTTTATTATTTTTATTTTTATCTTTCTAAGGTTGTTTTGTTTTGGGCACAGGGTCTCACTATGCAGTTCAGGCTGGCCTTGAACTCACTATGTAACCACAGCTGGCCTCAAACTTGTGGGAACTCTCCTGCCTCAGCCTCCCCAGTGCTCAGATTAGGCATGTACCACCACTCCTGGATAACTCATTTCAAAGATCATGAATCTGGGGCTCCAGGAACTGAAGCCACTTGTCTGAGACCTCGATAGGCAGGGACCAGACCACGCAGTGTGGGCAGAAGGGCCAGGCCAGGTTCCATGCTCAAGGAGGCAACCCACCCGCTGGCGCTGGAGACCCACCTTCATGAGCAGGAAGAAGGCCAGCGTCCCGAAGATGGTGAACTCCGGCTGGTACCACTCAAGCCACAGGTTCTTGGGGTCAAGCTCCGTAGGCCAGGACGGGGACGAGTTGCGGGTGGCCAGAGCCCATGAGTTGTTGTCGAGCAGTGAGTTCAAGTACTGGCCCATGGACAGCTGGAGCAGGGCAGGTGGCTGGAGCGGGGCAGATGGCCGCCTCCCACCCCACCCCACCTCCAACCCAGCTGGGGACCTCCCAGAGCCACAGCATCCTCAGCTGTCAAGGGACGCAAAGGCCTCTCCCTTAGAGGGTGTTCTGGGCACTGAGGTGATGTAAAAGGAGGCAAGGGATGGGGTCCTGCTCCCACCGTGCCCCCGCTTACCCGAGAGGCTAAGAAGCGGCCCACGCCGGGCGGGTAGGTGAGGGAGGCCAGCACCAGGGCCGCCAGGGCTGAGTACAGTGGTTTGCTGGGGGCAGGGAGGGGACGTGAGCGCCTCCTCCTCCCCACCGCCTGGACCAGAAATGAGGATCCCTGTCTGATCCCTCCCGGGGGGCTCAGAGGGGGATGGGGCTCAGCTGGGGCCCCCCTGCGCACCTGGTGGCCAGCAGTTTGGAGGTGAACCGGTTGCTCCTGACGAAGCCCAGGAAGAAGCGCTGACAGAACAGGTAGGCGCAGCTCATAACGCCGCAGATGCCCCTGGGCACAGCACGGGTGGGGGTCAGGCCGGGTGAGGCCCGAGGAGCCCCCACCCCAGCCGGCCCTCAGGGACCCCGCTCACCCCAGAAGCACAAAAAAGAAGATTTCGGGCAGGTCGAAGGGCACCTCCACGCGGAAGCTCGTCTTGTAGAGGACAGTGATGGTCTCTGGGGGCAGGAGGGGCCCGAGGGTCCGAGGCTGGGCAGGGACCCCAAATACCCCTGGCGTTCAAGGCCCCCCACGGTCCAGCCCTACCCTCCGGCCCTGCAGGCTGGGAGTCAGGAGGCAGGAGCAGGGAAGGGGAGGGGGACAGATGGGGACGGAGGGGAGGGGAATCGGGGAGGGGAGGCCTCACCCTCTTCGCTGTTGAAGACGGACAGCAGGCGAAACATGAAAGCCCCGCAGGTGGCCGCGAAGAAGCCCCTCCAGTAATCCCAGACGGAGAAGTGGGAGGACATGACCTCGATGCTGACCAGGACACCTGCAGGGACACTGAGTCAGGAGGCCCCCCCGCCGTGTCACCCTCTCCCTGGCCTTTACTGAGCAGCTGTCCTGGGGACTGGATGGCCAGGGCCACCTATCCTGCTGGTCCTGAAGTGGGGGCGCCCATGGCCTGAGCCCCAAGCAAGGGGAACCCCAACCTTTTTTTTTTTTTTCAGTCCTAAGGATTGAATCCAGGGCCTTCAATCTGAGCTACATCCCCGGACCTTTTAACACATTTTCTACTTTTTTTTTTTTTTATCGGTACCGGGGATGGAACTCATGACCACGTGCTTGCAAGGCAGGCGCTTATGCCACTGAGCTAAATCCCCAGCCCCCATTTTCCACTTTTGAGACAAGGTCTCACTAAGTCACCGGGTGGCCCATGCTGGACTTGAGTTTTCAGTCCTCCTGCCTCTGCCTCCCACAGTGCTGGATGACAGGTGTGCACCACCTCGGTGGCTGTTAAGGACCTGTGCTGAGGAAACCAGGCTCAGAGAAGTGGGCTCAGGGGCCACAGTCACACAGTGGGAACTAGATCTCAAAGTCACATCTGCCTAGTGTCCTCCCGAAGACACCTGCCCCCCTGCACCCCGCTCTGGGCAGGACTACAGCAGGAACTGGTCCCGGGCCCTCTGCTGAGTACAGGAGTGGCCGGTCAGCCCCAAGGCAGAGAGGCCAGGGCCATGTGGAGCCCTGGGGGTTCAGGGGCGAGGAGAGGGGTGTCTCACCGCTGAAGGGGGCTGAGAAGACAGTGGCCACCCCCACTGCGGCTGCCGCCACCAACATTTCATTTTGTTTGCTCTTGTTCTGGGGAGACAGGGCCTGGGCTCAGAGGCAGCCCCTCCCTCCTCCCCCATCCTTCCGGGGTCCCGAGCCCCTCACCTCCGGCTCCCTGATGGTCTTGATCCGCACGCGGCCCATGTAGGCAGCCATCATTGCACAAATGTGCACGAAGGGACCCTGGGGGATGAGATGTGGGCACAGGGCATGGGGCAAGGGCCCCAGGGCGGGGGAACTGGGCCCCGATTTTTCCTTCTCCTTTTTCTCCTCCTCCTGAGATCCAGCATGGCCTCCCCATCACACCCTTGTCCACTGCCATCCTCCCAAACTCCAGGGCCCCCCTGAGATGGCTGCTGTCACATGGGGGACCCGGTCTGTCTTCCCACTGCTCTTGGAGGGCAGGAGGCTGGGTGGGTCGAGTCCGTACCACTTTGCCCAGGAAGATGGTGCTGCTGCTGGCCAGCGTGCAGGACAGACCCACCACTTTGGCCCCGAAGTTCTTGATGTCCAGGTAGTCTTCCAAAACCACCCCCGACAAGATGGTCTTCAGCTCGGGGATCCCGGAGCCTGGAGGGGGGTGAGGACCAGGCCAAGGTAGAGGGTTGCCGTCCAGGTCTGGTTGAGTCTCCCTGCCCTCCGAGGTTAGGATTCATATTCCCATTTTGCAGAAAAGCAGGCGGAGGCCCAGAGGGGCTCTCGGGCTGTCTGTGTTCTTCTAGCTGGGCCTCCCAGGGTGGGGCGTCAGGGCCCAGGACCGACTCCATCTGAGTCCATCCCCACCCCCACACACAGAAAGGCAGAGCCCATGGCAACCCGGGACTCCACATGCAGGCTTCCTGCAGCATGATGGCAGATGGAGGCACAGTGTCCTGAGCCTGCCTCTCCCTGTTGCTCCCAGTGCACGGCCAGCGGGGACCACAGCGCCAAGCTCACAGGCAGGGGCACGGCTGCGAACTCACCTCCAGAGAAGGGCGTGATGCTCTGGGAGAAGCCGGAGGAGAAGGACACGAGGGCCACCGGGTACACGACCCAGGATAGGAACCGGAGCAGGTGGCTGTCCCCGATCTCCCGGTACAGCCAGTTGTGTGCTGAGGACGGTGGGGTGTCAGGGTGAGCGTCCCCGAAGCCTTCAGAGCCCCCGGGGCCAGAGGCTGTGGTGCCCATGTAGGCCCCAAGCAGGGGCAGGAGGAGGATACTGCTTCACCACTTCCTAGCGGAGGGACCTGGCAAGTGACTCAGTCTCTCTGAGCCTCTGTTTTCCCATCTGGTGAATGGGTCAGTGACAATACCTCCCTCGAAGAGTCACTGTAGACCACAGGAGACAGCTGTGCATGGTCTCAGTGACAGCTGTCATTATGGGAGCTGAGCCTCTGGAGAAATTGAGGCCCCCCACCCCCAGCCTTGCAGCACCTCCTCCAGGTGGCCTTAGGGTGGCAGCACTCAGGTGAGAAAAGCATGAGGTGGTGGAGGCCCAGAGAGGGGCAGACGCCTAGGGCCACACAGCCAGGCAGAAGCTGGGAGCAGACTGAGCCCTCTTTTACCCCTGATGCACCTGGTGGCCCATCCGGCATCCCCAGGACATGTGCAGGTCCCCCAGCCCAGGGTAGAGAGCGTGTGGGTGCCCGGGACTGTTACCTAGGAGCATGCGCTCCACCACGAAGTTCATGGCATAGCTGATCAGCGCCATGAGCACCCCGAGGGCCGTCAGGAAGTACCAGTCCTCGCCCACGCGGAACAGCATCCGCTTCAGCCACTCCAGGACACCTGCACAGGACGTTGGGCCACAGTCCCGCAGGCCGCAGGAGTGGTGAAGGTTGGGCACAGCAGGCATCGGGCCCGCTGCTCCTACCACGGCCTTCTGACCCACACTGGGCACTGGGGGGCAGAAGCTGGAGTGTGGGTCAGGCAGCCGTGGCTGTCACAGGCCTCTTGGGGCTTCCACTTAGCATGCGGGTCACCCCAGGGCCTGGTACCAGTCTCCCAGGCCTTCAACAATGCCCCAGCCCGGCCTGGAAGCTCACAGAGCCCCTTTCTGTGGCCTCTGCCTCCTCTGTCCCCTGGCTAACGGACATTCTCCAAGAGCAGTGAACTTGGGCCCCAGAAACAGGTCCCAACCCGAGGCTCCCAGCCACCTGCTGGCCCTTGGGACCCCTCCTGGCACACAGGGTGAGGGAAGTGGGCTGGGTAGAGGGGAACACAGCGGCCAGGCCCGGACTCTACCTCCCAAGAGCAGAAGGCAGGTGCTTGGCACAGGTGACCAGGCCAGTGGGCAGCCAGACTGCCCCTTTCCTTCCCTGCCACCCAGAGGATCTGGGCAGTGGTTGTGGGGACACAAGGAAGGAAGACAGAAGGGTGCTGCTCTTGGGCTTGGGGTGGGGCCCTGAAGGGCAGGCCGGGGCAGTGGGTGGAGGGGACCCAGCTCTCACCTTGGACGCCTCGGCGGATGCTGGGACACCGGCCCCAGAGCTCATGGAGGGTCACCGGGTTCCCCGGGGACCCCTCACGCAGCCCCACCAGCTCCTCCATTGGGTGCTGCTGAGTGGAGAGACAGACAGACCCCTGCTGACCCAGCCTTTGCTGTCCTCTACCTTCTGAACAGACAGGAGAGGCCAAGTGTGCGCGTGTGGGCCCGTGTGTTAAGTGCGAGATGGGGGCTTCCAGGGGCCAAGGTGCCCCTTACTCTCCAGCAGCAGAGAAGGCACAGGCAGGACCAGGACCCTCAGCCCTCTGGTCAAAGTCCTTGTTCCCACCCTCCCGGGACACTGGGCTGTGTCCTGGTGTGGTCCCTTTGTCCATGGCCAGCCTTGCTCCCCACCCTATCTCTGAGCACCCCCACCTCAGGCTGCAAGACTCAGGGAAACCCCAACCCTGAATCCCGGTCTGAGGTCACAGCCCCCAGCCCTCCGCCCACCTGGCCTGGCAGGTCCCCTCCGAGTGCACGCAGGCCTCACCTGTCGGCTGCCCTGCCCCTGGGCCTCCTCAGCAGAGCCTTTCCCCACAGCCCACAGCCCCAGCACCTGGACAGGTGTGCTTGTGTGTGTTTTTGCTGCCAATCAACGCCCGCCCTGCCCTCATGGCCATTAAGAATGTCCTTGACAAACCAGCCGGGACCGCTCAGGCCAACTGAGCCCTGCAGGCACAGCTGCCAAGGGATGCAAGGTTGGGGGGAGGGAGAGGGTGTCCCACACACACACCAGAGCTCGAAGAGCGGGGCACCCAGCCCTGCTGCAGGCTCCCACAACACTCTTGGAGACCCAGAGCTGGAGGCTGGAGCAGGATGGTCCAGACTCAGCCTCCCTGAGTGCCAGGGACAGTTGTTGGCCCTCCTCAGACACTCAAAGTGCTCCCAGAGATCCAGGCAGGCAATAGCATTAGCTTGTTTTAAAGAAATGGCATTGCACAGGCATCATGGTGCTCAACTGTGATTGCCACCATCTGGGAGGCTGAGACAGGGAGATCACAAGTTTAAGCCCAATCTAAGCGATTTGGCAACTTAGAGAGACCCAATATTAAAATAATAAGAATAGATGGGGGATGTAGCTCCTGCATTCTCTCCCCAGCACTGCAAAAAAAGAAGCAAGCACTGCAGAAATCTAAGGCTTATTTCCCAAGAGCACAGAGGCCGGCTGGGTGCCATGGCTCATGCCTGTAACTGCAGATTCTTCAGAGGCTGAGACAAGGGGACTACCGGAGGCCAGAAGTTTCAGGACAGCCTGGACAACGGAGCAAGACTCAATCTCAAAAGCATCAGCAACAGCACGCTGTGGTGGCACATGTCTGTAATCTCGGTACTTGGTGGGCTGAGGCAGGAGGACTGCTGGGAGCTTGAGGCCAGCTTGGGCTACCTACTGAGTTCAAGGCCATCCTGAATTAAAGCAAGACCCTGTTTCAAAAAACCCTGTTTAGTGGCACACACCTGTAATCCAAGCACTGAGGAGGCTGAGGCAGGAGGATTACTGTGAGTTTAAGACCAGCCTGGGCTACATAATGAACTCAAGGTCAGCCTGAACTACTTAGTGAGACCCTGTCTCAAAAAAAAAAAAAAAAAAAAAAAAAGAATAAGAAAAAAACTATAAACATCGTCACCCCTGCTGGCTCGGTGGTACACACCTGTCACCCCAGCACTCTAGGAGGCTGAGGCAGGATTGCAAGTTCAAGTCCAACCTGAGTAACTTAGTGACTGTTGAGACCCTGTCTCAAAATAGAAATAAAAGAGTTAGGGATATAGCCAGCGTGAAGGACTAGCTTTCTATCCTCAGTATGCCACACCCACGCAACATTTCTTAAAAAAAGTAAATAAAACACCCACATCAGCCAACAACAAAAACCCAGGTCCCAGAGGCCCAGGGCAGAGCCAGGATCCCGCCCTCACACTCAGCCCCAGGCTCCTCATCTTGTTCACGGATAGGGAGGGGGCTGAGGGTAAAGGTCTCCAGAGGCAGGTGAGGAACAGGATTTGATCTTCATGTCCGGACACTCCTGTCAGCCAATTGCGTCTGGAATCGAGTCATCCGCCGGGGCCTCTGGACCACTCGCAGACCTCATCTCACTGCGGGGAGGACACGAACTCGGAGCGGTGTGTGAGTCTCATGGGCCAGGAGCCCTCATCTGCAGCGTGGCTCATCATCCGCCCACCTGTAAGGATTGGCAGTGTCACCCTTTTGCGGATGACAAATGGAGAGTCAGAGAGGCGCCAGTCACTTATCCAAGGTCACACAGCAGAGGCTCAGCTCAGACCCAGAGTGAGTGGCTCTTTCCCTATCAGACACTGCCCGGGACCTGGAGGTTTCAGCAGAACAAGGATCTATTTTTGGAAGATTTGCAAAAGAGACCAGGGACAACCATCGCCTGCCTCGGACAAGTGACCTCCCAGAAAACCACGCTGAGTCCCCAGGGGTTTGGGAAAACCCGAGACCCTGAGCTGCCTCTGGCGCCGGGAGCCTGGCCAAGTGAGCTCACAGCAGAGCAGAGGCATCGATGCTTGTGCCTGGGAGGGGGCTCAAGGGCACACCCCGGCCTGTGCCTGCTGTGTTGACAGCCCAAACACCCGTGCCTGCTCTCGGGCAGCTGCGTGGCAATCCCACAGCCACCTGCTCGCATCTGCACCCTCACTCTCTGGTCTCGAGTGGATACCCCCCACTTCTCTTGAAGCTTCATGAAACACTGGGCACCTGGGGAGGTGGCTCAGGACAAGGAGAGCAGGCCTGAAGCTCCTGCACCACCCAGAGCCTCAGCTCCCTCTTCTGTCCAGTGAGGAGAGCATGGGAGTGGGGTCTGCCTCTGCCTCGCTCATCCACCTGCCCAGGCCTCAGCAGTGTCCAGTGCATCACAGGTGTCCCTGCCACTGGGCTCTGAGCAGACCACAGGTGGTGGAATCCTTCTCAGAGGCCAGGAGGAATCTCAGGGCATCGCACTAGTGAGAGGCGCCACAGGCTGGGATGCTTTCTGAACTCAAGGGCATGGGTTTTGTTTCGATTTTTAGTAGTATAAGGGATTTAGTGTAGGGTTTTACACTGACCTACATCCTTAGCCCTTTCTTAATTTAGAGACAAGGACTCACTAAATCGCTCAGCTGCTCAGGCTGGGCTCAAAGGTCGCAGTCCTCCTGACTCGGCCTCCCAGACCATTGGGACCGCAGGTGTGCACCACTGCGCCCCTCCCCCCAAGGACTGGATCATCGCTGAAGCAACCCCTACCTCTGTGGTCTTGAGGAAAAGCCATGGCCAGAGTCAGGGAAAGGGCCGTGATGACCTTTGGAGGTCCCTCTGGTCACCAGAGCCAGAAGGTTCCGCATTTACGTGGATGACGCCTGCCTGGCATGGGGACAGGAGGGAGGAGGAATGGTGGGCGGGGGTGGGAAAGGGATCCAGGTCCAGGAAGAGTGACTCAGGCCCTCGGGCACCATGACAGAGCGTCTGCATTTAGCCTCTGGCTCCTGTCCCCGGGTGGCCAGTGGCCCCCACCACTTTCCCCCTGGCCTCTGCATTGTCACCTCCCAGCAGCCCCTTGCTGAGACTCAGGGATACAGGCAGGACCCTCTGTGTGGAGTGACACTCCTGCTCCAGCCAGCACCCTGGCCCCCCTGTGCCCTGCCTTTCCCCCTCCCATACCATGGGCCCCTGTGGCAGCCCCACAGGGAGCCCCCAGAAATAGAGCTCCAGACGGGGTTCATGGGAGCTGCAGAATAAGGGAGGAGCCCCTCCTAGCAAGGGGAGCCAGAACTCCTAACTGTTCTTTGCAAACAGTGCCAGAGGAGCAGTCTCCTACACATAAGAACATTAGCCAGGTGTGGTGGCGCATATCTGTAATCCCAGCACTCTGGGAGGCTGAGGCAGGAGGGTGGCAAATTGGAGCCAAGCCTGAGCAATTTAGGGACTTGGTGAAACCCTGCCTCAAAATAAAAACTAAATAAAGAGCTGGGGATTTGGCTCAGTGTGAAGGCCCTGGGTCTAAGTCCTAGTAACACACATACCCACACCCCCCCCCCACACACACACACCCTGCCAGGTGCTGGGCATGGCAAAGGACTCTGCTATAAGCACCTGGAGGGCTTCAAGAGATGGCAGCAAACGGAGGGGAGGGGACCTAGGGCTTGTGCTGCTCTGAGAAAGAAGAGCAGGATCTGGGAGGAGAGCCCCAAGCTGCAACCTGGACGGACAGACAGCCGCCCCCCAGCTGAGCCTCCCCAGCTCTGCCCTGATTCCGAAAGACCTCAGTCCCTGCTCCTCGGAACAGCAGGTGGGCAGGAGGTAGGGCTATCTTCCATCTCCACAGGTGTACGTTCTAGAAGAAACCTGCATCTGACGGTCTGGGTTGGAATTCCAGCTCTTTTTGCACAAAGCCCGGCCCACCCCTTGGGTTCTCTTTGTTTTCCTGTCTATAAAATGGACCTAGCATCCTACTGTGAGTGGGGGGTGGGGAGGTTTGAAGGGGACCATCCTGCAAAGGGGAGCCTATGCCCAGTGGCACCCGGAAGCCAGAGCTAGGGTACCTGTTTCCACCTTGAGGCTGAGGTCAAGCAGACAGGCGCTGGGAAGCGGACCTGTGGGATCTCTAAAGCCAGTGACCTAAGTACCTGCCCCGTCGAGTCGGAGCCCAGCCCTAGCCCTGCCTCTGGCTGCCAGCTCACTTCTCTTGCCCCCTAAGTGTTCCAAGGGCAGGAATCCTGGCAGGGGGACGGCTGCTCATTGCCCCCCACGGGTGGGTGGTCCTCAGCTCCTGGAAGTCTGCCAAGAGGTCCTGCACCCACCCTGCCCTCAGGGAGTTTGCAGTCTACCAGAGCACAAGGCCCATCCCAAGCGAGCCCTTAGACTGATGGGGCAGACACCAAACCTAAGAAGTCCTGGGACAGTACCAGCCCCCAGCAAGGGGACAGGACCCAGCTCCCTGGCCGTGGGATGCGGAGGCCCTTGGGGCTGGAGCCATGGCCCTGGAATGCCAGGCGGTGAAGATTTCCAGCCCCCTCCGGAGCGTGAAGAGGCCTAAATTTAGCGAATAGACAAGAGGCTGGCCCTGCGCCCAGGGACAGTCGGCCCTTATAAAGCGCGGGCCGTCAGGGCCCAGCAGGCTCCGCCACAGCCCTGCACCCACACCCTTCTCCTGCCTGCCCCTGCCCGCGTGGACAGGGCCCAGCGCTGCCCGTGGATGAGCCACCGGACATCCTCCTCCTTCAGAGCGGAGAGAAGCTTCCACTCCTCCTCCTCCTCTTCCTCCTCATCCTCCTGTGCCCTCCCGCCCCAGGACCCCCCCATGGAGAAGGCCCTCAACCTCTTTTCCGAGGACTTTGGCAGCTTCATGCGGCCCCACTCGGAGCCCCTGACCTTCCCAGGCAAGTGTGAGGCTCTGGGGGCAGGGGACTCACAGAGGTTGGGGACAGCCAGTCCAGGGCATCAGCCAGGGTACCATGCTTGCCACAGCCAGGAACAGGTGCCACATAGCCTGCAGCCACCTGTGGCCACTGCAACAGATGTGGTCATGAACACAGGTGGGCCCCAGGGTGTCCCCACCCAGGCCTGGCAACTGCAGCCAGGTCTGCTGGCACCATGGCACGGGTAAGGTGGGCACTGTGGGGCTGGGGCTGCCGTAGGCTGATGTCATCAGGGTACACGGGAAGGGCTGGCTCTGAGAGGACGAGGCAGTGGCAGGGCTCAGGAGCCATATCCCTCCCCTAGACGGGTACAGACATCCAGGTTCACAGCTGCCCTCCCCACAGCCCGCCCCGCAGGACCCGGCAACATCAAGACCCTCGGAGATGCCTACGAGTTTGCTGTGGACGTCAGAGACTTCTCCCCTGAGGACATCATTGTCACCACCTCCAACAACCACATCGAGGTTCGGGCAGAGAAGGTGAGCCAGGCCCAGCCCCATGTCTCCCCTCCACCCCTTTCCTCCACCCTTGGTCCTCTCCTCCCATCCCCTACCCATCCCCAGCAGTGTCCCTTCCCCATCTGAACTCCTCCAGGCAAACTGGGGGACGGTGGCCCCCATGCCTCTCTCCTCCCCAAGGTGTCCAGACATGGAGCACAGGAGCCCACAGCAGCTGAGGGACCCTGGGGCATGGGCTGAGGGGACACCAGAGCTAACATCCAGGTTGGGGAAAGGGGAGTGAGGGGCAGTGGTGGAGTGAGGCTAGGTCCGCCGGCAGAGGTTGGTGGGCAGCTGGAGAGGTGGAGGACTCCCTGGGCAGCGGCGGGCAGCTGTCCCCACATGCCACCCCTCCAGCTCTTCCACTGGGAGCTAGAGGCCCAGACCCCATCCTGGGAGCCCCAGATTGTGAGTAGAGATGCAAAGCTGGGGTTGCAGTGCCCCCTCCACCCACGGATCTCAGGGCCACAGGTCACTGAGCCTGAGCCCCTAAAAGGCCTTGCAGCCTCTGCATGGCCAGAGGCTGTGCCCAGGCAGACAGGAAAGCAACTCTGGGTCAGCCAGCCAGCTGTGGCTGGGAGGAGATGTGACCAAGCCTTCCTGCTCCTCCCCAGAGCTTGTGAAGCTGGAAGGGAGCCCCTGCCAGGGGGCGTGAGGCAGCACGTGCCCTCTGCCACCCCGACGGTGACTCAGCCACCGCAGACTGCGCCGGACACTGTGTGCTGGCAGAGCTGTGGGGGCGGGGCAGGTGGCCTGGCCCAGCGGTGGGCCTGCATGTGCTTGAGTGTCCAGGAGCCCGGGCTTTCAGTGCTCAGGCCTGGGGACAGCCTACACTGACCCATCTCCCTCCCCAGCTGGCGGCTGATGGCACGATCATGAACACCTTTGCACACAAGTGCCAGCTGCCGGAGGATGTGGACCCAACCTCGGTGACCTCGGCCTTGCGGGAGGATGGCAGCCTCACCATCCGGGCACGGCGTCACCCACATACGGAGCACGTTCAGCAGACCTTCAGGACAGAGATCAAAATCTGAGACCCTCGGCTGCTGCCCTGTCCACCCTCCCGCCTCCCTCACCGGCCTCCCCAGAGCCTGCAGAGCCCTGGATGATGCCCCCTGCCCAGGACATTTCAGCTCCCAAAGCCCTTAGGCCCCAGGTGGGCATCACCCCCAAGCTAGAGTCCTCCACTCCTCCTATGGAAGGCTGGCGTGGCCCCTGTATTCCAAATATGGCGTCTCTCAATTTGGAATTGAGGGGCTGGGTAGGGACAGCAAGGTCCTAAAGACCCACTTTGAGGAAGGGGTTGGGGACAGGCAGGGGCTCTGGATAAAAGCTCTGCAGGACAGACAGACGGGAATCCTTTGATCTGTGGAGTTTCTCAAGGGGGGGAGCCAGGCACTGGGGATTCCCCGGTGAAGCGGAGCAGGTCAGGCTGAGGGACGGTCACAGGCAATGTGCCTGTCCAGGTGGGACTGCCTGAGGGCCCGGGAGGCCAAGAGGGCCAGGTGGTGGACGCCTCCCCTGGCGGCTCCTGCAGCCCAGCCAGCTGTGCCAGCGCCTGGCTCCACACTCTGCTGGGAAGGGGTTTTTCCAATACAGCTGGTTCACTGCGGAAGGTTAAAATCTTGCTTCAGGCATGCTGGACCTGTCCTCCCCCAGGGCAAACCTGGGCTCCCAGGCCACTCCCTGCAGCCAGGGTCCCCTCCAGTGACCCCAGTTTCCTGTGACCCCCACCCCCACCCCACAGGCGCACCCGCCTGCCCCCCCTGCGCCCCCCCCAGGGCTGAGTATGGAGCTGACGCCCACACCCACGGTCCTCTGTGTACGCAGCATCACCACTGAAGCCAACTCGAAAAATGGATTCAGCCCCTCGATTTTTATCCATGGGGAAACTAAGTCCGCAGTGAACCCAGGACATCAGCCATTCTCAGCCCCACCTCTGAGGCCTAGGGGAGTCCCTTCGATCGGCACCTCAGGGGCTGGGGAGGGGGTTACAGAAAGAGCCCCCAGCCCAGTTCCCTCCTGGCCCCCATCTGTGGGACTGTGGCTCAGTCTTCCAGCAGGTGGGGAGGGGAAGGGAGGCTCACAGTCAGGCCCAGGGCGAGGTAGAGCCACATCTGTCCCTGCCTCCTGGCTGGTCAAACTGTCCACTGGCCTCTGACCCCTGCGGCTCTGGGGCACTTGGGGAGGGTGGGCGGGGCAGTGGGGGAGTGGGGCGCTGTAACCTGCACACACAATAAATGACAGTGTCACAGATTTCTGGAGGTCCCTGCCTGCAGTTCCCAAGCCCCAGTCGGAGGCAGCTGGGCTGGGGACCCAGGATAAAGAACCAAGGTAACGTGCTGCAGCCCTCTGGGGAATGTGGTGCCCCTGGGCCACCCCCTGCGCCCCTCACCCACCTGCGGAGTCCAGGACTGTCTCTGTGAGACCCTGTCTCCCAGCGGCCTGTCCCTGTCTTTTGTTCATTCTTTCATTCTGGAGACCCCTGTGCCCAGCACGTCCTGGGTGAAGGGGCACAGAGAGGCAGGGTGCCCGGGGCCCCTTCTGCTAGCCCATGGGGGCTCTGGGGCCCAGAGAGGCTGAGCAGCCGGCCTAAGGTCACACAGCTGGGCCGAGGGACTCTGGGGGTAACCTCACCCCACCCCTCTGCCCTCGGGAGATCCAGGACAAGCCCTCTGCCGCGGTCAGGAGCAGGGCAGCGAGGTGCGGTATTTCCGGCCTCCTGACTCACCCGTTCCGAGGCTATTTGCAGCCGGACACTCATCGCCCGCTGCGTGGAGGAAAGGGGCCGGTGGAGCTCCCTCCCCCTCCGGAGCCGAGGTCAGGTTCACCTTGACGCCCTACCCTGGAGGCTCCTCCCTCTGCCCGGCCAGCAAGGCTGGACCACCTCCTCCGGGCCCCAGCCCACCCCACCGCAGCGCACCGGGCTTGGGGAGCCAGGGCCAAGGTGACCCCCGCGGGGGGCGGGGCCGCGCTTTGTGTCCCGGTGCCCCCGCCCCTTCCCGGGCTAAATATAGGCCTGGCTGAGCAGGCACTGGACTTAGAGTAACCAAGGCCCCATTCATCCCGCCGGAGCGCCGGCCACACCCCCACTGCAAGCGACTCGGTTTCTGTGCAGCTCAGAAGGACAGGGGCTCAGAGAGGTCAAGTCACCGGCCCAAGGTCACCCAGCTTGGAAGCGGGATGGCTAGGATTTGAACCCCTGCTGGTGGCTCTGGCAGGCCTCTGTCCAGTCCACCCGGACCAGGATCAGTCTTTTCTTAACCCATCAGGGAGCACGCAGGTTTATCCACCCACTCCATTCCCGCAGCTCCCACTAGGACAAGGACCTCTCAGGTCTTGTAACTTCAGAGAGGGCCTGGATAGGTGGGCAAAGCTGGAAAGACAGAGGGCCACCCAGGGTCCCTCTCATTTAAAGGCATGGTCCAGGCCAAAAGGCTCCTCCTCCAGAAAGCCCTCCAGAACTATCAGCGAGCCAGCCCAGAGACATCCCCCTTCCCAAACTCTTCCTTCAAAAGCAACCCAAAGGCACATAAAGGGAGCTCACGCCTAAGGCTCCCCATCCCTCAAAGAGCCAGCCCAAGTGCCTCATGCTAGGATGCAGAGACTCAGGCCCAGAGAGGGCAGGAGCCTGGCTCAGGGTCACACAGCAAGCTGCACCTGCTGAACCTATGGCGGCCCCTGGGTCTTCTCCGAGGCGCAGGGGTGGAGAGAGGTGGGGGAGGGGTGAGTGAAGCTGAGCCCTGGTCGTCGGGGCTGGAAGCCCCGAGCTTTAGCTTCTTCCTCCCTGAGGTTGGCACTGCCATCTGGGCAGGGCATCTGGACAGGGCTGCCATCTGGGCAGGGCAAAGCGGTGTTCAAGGTGGTCACCTGGTCGTTGAGTTCTCATGGGCACCGTGCTGACAGCTTTGTGTGCAAGGAAGGTGGTCAGCTTTCCCACGCGCCCCAGCCAGAGATGGCCCAGGGCTTGGTGTGGGGGATTGGGCACGGGTGCCCCTGGGTGACCCGTGGTGTACACGGTCAGCACAGCCAGGTGGGCACCCTGGGAGCAGCCAGCACCTGGCAGCAGCCCCTGTCTCCTTTTCTTCTTCCTGTCCCCCGCCCCTTCCTCCTCTTTTTCCTGTGTGTGGTCCTGGAGGTTGAACCCCTAGCCCTTTCTCTGTGGCTTGAGACAGGGTCTCACTAAGTCAGTCTCAAACGCTCTACCTTCCTGCCTCAGCCTCCCAGAGTGCCAGGATTAGAGCACCCTGTCCAACCAGGGACAGCCTCCAGTGGGAGTGGGGGTGGGCGCTGTGAGGCTGGGGACCCAGGAGAGGGTGAGGTGTGAGCACCGCACACTTGCTCACCTGCACACTCATTCATACACACACTCATTTGCACCCTTGGCCACTCAGTGCCGGTGGACTCTGCCCTCAGTTCTGCATCCCTGTTGTCCTAGTGGACAGAGAGAAGCTCCCTGCGTAACTGCCTGTTTATCCCCATCTCAGCTCCGACCACTGGCTGTGTGACCCCTGCAGTCGCTTTACCTACCAAAGCCTGGTCTGTGCCTTTCTGATTCTTGTGCGAGGAGTCAGCACGTTGCCAGGCACCAGATGCATGCAGGGCAAGTGCTCCCTGTCACCACTGTCCCTTAGAGCACGTGGCCTCTACAGGCACTGCTTCTTTTTAAATTGCATTTTGAGCTGGGATCTTGCTGGGTAGCCCACGCTGGGCTCGAACTTGCAGAACGTGCCCGGTCGGGATTCCTGGTGTGGGTCACTGCCCCTTGGGAACCTTCTTCCCCCTCGTCCCCTCCTCGCCAGCCCTGCTTTCCTGTGGTTTCCCCACCTCTCAGACAGCACCTGTCTCTCCTCCTGCTTCTCTTTGTTAAAAGACAATTTAAAACAAACCAAAAATCGTCTCTCACACATTTATAAGGTGCATACATTAAAGAGTAATTACTGAGCTAAAATCAAACCATAAAATTAACCATCTTTTTTTTTTTTTTGTAGTCCTAGGGGTTGAACCTAGGGCCTCCCCACTGAGCTGCATCCCCAGCCCTGCATATAAAATTGACCAGCAGGGTGTGGTGACAGGCACCTCTAACCCAAGAAACCTGAGCGGCTGAGGCAGGAGGATCACAGGTTCAAGCCCAGCCTGAGCAACTTAGCAAGATCCTGTTTCAAAATAAAAAGTTAAAAGCTCTACGGAAGAGTGTTTACCCAGCCTGTGTGAGTTCCTGGGTTCAATCTCCGGCAGTGGACATTGGCAAAAATCTGGACCATAGAGGGCGCTCCTGATCCCTCCCAGAATTCTTACCAAGAAAGCACCGTAAATCCGTCAATATCACTACGGCTGGCCTAGGCACTCTCTTCTCAGGGTATGAATGAAGAAGTTTGGGTGGTGTCCGCATCACTGTGACCCCTGCCCTGTGGGGTCCCTGGTTCTCCCCGCCCAGGTCTGGATCCTGTGTCCTCCAGGTTGGTGATAGGGCGACACCTGCTGGTGGAGTACTAGATGTGCCTCCCTGTCCTTGAGGGTCTCTGCTCCCTGGGCAATCTGTCTCTGGCTCTTCTAGAGCAGCGACCTCAAGAATGAGCACAGGGCAGGGAGTTGGGTCAGCTTTCCGCATGGGCGTGTGCTGCCCGGATTCCAGCGGCACCCTGTCGAGTCCAAGCCTTCGTGCATGGTGTTTGAGCTGACTCACCTCCTCGGCTTCTCCGGCGCCTGTCTACTGTGTCCGCTCTACAGGGAGAGGAGCCAGAGAGGGAGAGGGGTCCTGCTCAGAGGCGGGCCTGGCCAGGACATCCTGGACTCATATCTGGCTGTCCCATCTCAGAGCAAAATCAGAAAGCTGCGCCCCATGCCCATACTCTCAGCACTCTGGGAGGCTGAGGCAGGAGAATTGCAAGTTTGAGCCCAACTTGGTCAACTTAATGAGGCCTGGTCTCAAAATCAAAAATGGGCTGGGGATGTAGCTCAATGCAGAGACCCTCGGTTCAATCCTTATTACTGCAAAAAACCCAAAGTAAACCCTTGTCATGCCTCCCAGGCCTCCTGTGATGTGGCTTCTGATTTCTGATTTCTGTTTTTTTTTTTTTTTTTAAGGGCAGCCGCGGGGAAACGTGACCCAGCCCGCCTGGAGGGTCCGGCCTCCCACTTTTCTGATTTCTTTAGTGTGCATCTGGGCACAGCTATCCTTCCCAGCTCCTTCGTGGCAAGGCCTTGTCTGTCTCATTCACTGACCTAGCCAGACTGTGGCCAGGGCCTGGCATACAGTGGGTGCCTAATAGATACTCAGTGATGAAACCTTAGCCCGTCCAGGACCACCTTGCTCCTTCCTGCACCCCAGCCGCTTCCCTTCGGTGACTCTGTGGCAGGCTACTGCCCCAGGAGCCCCATCTCTCCCTGGAGCTGGCTGGGGTCTCCCCTGTGTCTCCCACCTCTGTGCCACTCTCCCCTTCACGTTCATCTGAAGCTCAGGCAGCCATCACCTCCCTCCCTCGAGTCACCCAGGTGTGAGTCCAAGGCTGAGATGTGTCCGTTCTCTCGGGACCCCCTCTACCTAGAGGAGATGCTTCCAGGACAGGAGTCTGTGCACCCCACGGTGGGACCAAGAGCTTGGGCTCCCGGCTTGACTGATTTCTGACCTCCTGGCAGGCTGGGTGGCCTTGGATGCCCTCCTCAACCTCTCTGTCTCTGTTCCCAAACTGAGGTGGGTATGTCAACAGTGCTTCCCCCCATGGGTACTGCTGGCACACAGTGGTAGGCACCCAACTTACACCCCACACCAGTTATCTCCCTCCTGCCCTAGAGCATGAAGGTCCTGTGGGTTGGGGATCAAGCACCCCTTTTTCCCATTCATTTCCCATGTATGGGACATTGTGACCCTGATCTGCAGTAATAAGGAATAATCTCTTCCTTTGAACAAATATAAGCCTGTATCATTTCTGATCACCTCCCTGTTTTTTGAGACAGGTCTTGATATGTGAGACAGAACTCACATGAGTTCAGGCTGGCCTTGGACTCATGGTGGTCCTCCTGCCTCAGCCTCCTGAATGCTGGGGTGACAGGCCTGCGTCACAGCACCTGGCTACATCTCCCAATCAGTCGGCCACACCCCCTCCCAGTGTTCTGTGCGCTCCTGGCCCGCACTGTGATCTCCCCCGGGAAGAGATGCCATGTCATCTCTCAGAGCACCCTCTGGCCTCACCTGCTCACCAAGTCCTTCCCCAAAATCTCCTCCTTGTCACACTGGTCCCGTTTCCCACCTGCACATCACACATCCCTGTTTCAAGCCACCTTTATTTGGTTATTTGTTCCATCCTCCCATCCCAAGAATGTGAGCCCCCAGAAAACCACAGTGACAGCCCTAGCAGTGCTGTTCCCTGGGCTCAGGCAAGGCACGAAAGCCCCCCACCTGGCTGAGGAAGGGAGGCCAATCCTGGGCGCACAGGTCTAATCAGCCTGCCCACAGACACAGAAGGACAGGGCTTTGAGTGAGCCCTTGACGGCCCCCCAAGGTGAAGACGCCACAGCCCCAGCCCTCCAGGGGTTTCCCTTGGCTTTGGGAACCTCCTGGGGGCTGGACAGGCTGGTGGTGCGGGAAGGGCAGGGCGGCAGGGTGTCCTGGGCCCAGGCAGCGCATCTCCCCTCCAGGGAGATGCCCTGAGTGGTAGGGGGCTGGTTCTTCCCACAGAACACGATGTAGGTCTTCACTGATGGGGTGACGGGGCCCTGGCTGGGGCCTTGGCTGCGACTGGGAACTTGAGGTGGTGCTGGGGGTGCTGCCAGGGTGAGCTGCTTCCCACGGGTACAGTCAATGATGAAAGTCACATGTGCTGTGGGGAGGGTCTGAGGACGGGCTGGCTTCCCACCTAGAAGGAAGGAAAGGACTAGAGGTGTGTATTTGCACAGGGTGCACACTCACTCTGCAGTTTGTTCATTTTTTGATGATATGTAAAGATGACCCCAGGTGTGGTGGTGGACACCTGTAACACCAGCCCCTGGGAGGCTGAGGCAGGAGGATGGCTGAGTTGGAGGGCAGCCTAACTACACAGAGAGATGTAGATAGGACAGGTGGGGTTCTAAGGACATGATTTCGGTATGGCAGAGACCCAAGGATTTTTTTTTGTTGGTTTGGTTTGGTTTTGGTTGTTTGTTAGAGACAAGATCTTGTTATAGAGTTTGGGCTGGACTAAAACTCACTGTGTAGCCCAGGCTGACCTTGAACATACAGCGTCCTCCTGTCTCAGCCTTCCCCGTGCTGGGATTATGAGTTGTTTATATTTTTGTTTGGTTTCACAGTGCTGGGGATGAACTCAGAGTCTCAAGAATGCCAGCGGCAAGAGCTCTGCGAGGTACCGGGGATTGAACTCACCACTGCCTGCTTGCAGGGCAGGCCCTTATGCTGCTGAGCTAAATCCCCAGCCCCCTCCAGCCTCAGTTTTGATCCTGGTGTCTCCATTGCCAGCCATCAGCCTTCCAGACCTTTGTTTCCGAGCCCCTCCTCGGACTGCACAGCAGCTACCCAGGATCTGGTTAAAACACATCTGGGTGGGGCCTGAAATCCAGCTTTTCTTACAAGCTCCCAGGGGCTGCTCTGCCTGAGGTCCGAGGGGCATCTGGTGAGAGAGGATGACCTGCTGCGGATGAGGGAACCCAGACTCAGCTTGCACAAATGTTGGTGGTCTTCAAGGAGCACAATGGTCCTTGCCCTCCTGCATAATTTTTTTTTTCTTTTTTGGTAACAGGACTGCAGCCTAAGGCCCTGACTTTGAGCTCCATCCCCTGCCCTTTACTAACTTAATATATTGGGCTCCAATTTGTATTCCTCCTGCCTCAGCCTCCCAGAGTACTGGGATTACTGAAACCCGTCATCAAGCCCAAAACGCCCTCCTCTACAATCTCCTACACAGCCTTGAAGAATCCTACCTGCGTCTGGGTCACCTGCTCTGAGGATCCCTGCTGTGTACTAAGCCAAGCTGGCCACCACCCCACCCCCAGCTCAGAGTCCAGTCTTTAGGAGAAAAGTGAAGAAAACACTGGATCCCTTTATCAGGGGAGCGAGGACCAGAGCAGGGCTGTTTGAATCCAAAGACTTTTCAGCTGGGTGTCATGGCGCATGCCTGTACTCTCGGCACTTTGGGAGGCTGAGGCAAGAGGATCACAAATTAGACCCCAGCTTGGGCAATTTAGCAAAAGCCTGTCTAAACTACAAAAGGGCTGGGGTTGTAGTTTAGGGCCTAAGGCCCTGCATTCAATGCCCAGAACCCCTACCCTCCAAAAGAGTCACTTTCCAGGTCTCCAGCATGGTGTACCTGTCCTTGTAACCACATGCTCTGACTGTGACAGGAGCACAGGAGAAAGCCGACATGCTGGTAGTTTGCTTAATACCGGAAGTGAACGAAGCTCACTATGTTTGAGAAGTCAGCAGCCCCGAAATTGCATCTCCCACGGGACCCCAGCCAGCCACCTCCCCTCAGCCCCCCGAGCTCCTCTCACCCGAGATGGTCTCCTGGCCCAAGTTGTCACTGAGGGTGGCTCTCCAGTCCCTGGGGTCTTCCGAGGGGGCCATGCCTGGCTCTGGTAGGAGGAGACTGGTCCTCAGCCACCTCTTCCAGGATGTGGTTACTCTCGGGCCAGGACCAGACCGTTTATACTCACCGGATCCGGATCCGCTGAGTGAATTCCACCTTGAGCCACCGGAACTGGCCTGGGGCAGTCAGGGGATTGCTTTGATCCACACGGTTATGTCAACAGGATTATTGTTGCATTCAGGCGCAGGCTTCCTATAAACAGACACCAGTCCCTTCCCGGGCCAGCTGCTCCCTGACTGTCACAGTCCTGGAGAACCTCCTCCTCTGAAAGGCAAGGCCTGGTTTCTCAAAACTGCCTCCGTATCTGCGGTTTCATCAGCTTCTTTTGTTTGTCCCCTAAGAACTGAATGTCACTGGGGGAGGAGGTGCACAGCTGTGATCCTAGCACTCTGGGAGGCTGAGGCAGGATGATACACTCAGCCTGGGGCAATGTAGCAAGACCTTGGTTCAAAAAACAAAGGGCTGGGGATGTAGCTCAGAGCAAAGGCCCAGGGTTGGCTCCCCAGTACTGCATAAAAAAAGAAAGAAAGAGAAAAAGAATGAAAGAAAGAGGAAAGTTGGTGTTGCTATGTTAAAAATAGACAGGATCAGCCAGGCTTCCTGGCTCACACCTATAATCCCAGCACTTGGGAGGCTGAGGCAGGAGAGTTGTGAGTTCGAGACCAGTGTGGGCTACAAAGTGAGCTCAAGGCCAGCCTGAACTGCATAGAGAGACCCTGACTCAAAAAGACAATAAAATAAAATAATAACCAAGATCACTTGCACAAATAAGAGGCAAACAGACATGGTGATGGTGGCCCATGCTGGTAATCTTAGCCACCGGGGAGGCTGATGCAGGAGGATGGCAACTTTGAGGCCAACTTGGACAACTTGTATCCTCAAAATAAAAAAATAAAAGAGGGCCTGGGGATGTAGCTCAGTGGGAAGTCCTGGGTTCAATCTTGAGTTCCAAAACAAAACAATGAAAAATAAACACACCAAACACTTAAGTCTGGCAAGCAGAGCAAAGGTCCCATGCAGAGGTTCACGCCCTGGGCCCCAGAACCTGCGAGGGGACTCCCGTTCCCAAGGGCCTCGTGCTGGGAGGAGGGCTGTGGAGTTTGCAATGCGAGCTTCTTCTGGAATTGGTGGGTGCCCCCGTGGTCACGAGGATCCAGAAATGAGAGACCCTTTCCCCGCTGGGTTAGACAGACCCGTGTGGAAGACAGAAGAACACAAGGCCTCCACCTGCCACTGCGGGCTTTTCAGATTCAGCCGAAGGAATAGAACAGGACCCAGATTCGGTTTCTCCCACTACACTGCCACGACATGGTCACACTTTCTCCTTTTTCCTTGACAGGGTCTCACTATTATAGTTCATGCTGGCCTTGGTAAATTTTTATGGTTTGCCAGGCGTGGTGGTGCACGCCTGTAATCCCAGCACTTGGGAGGCTGAGGCAAGAGGATCATTGCAAATTGAGACCAGCCTGGGCACAAAGTGAGTCCAAGACCATCTTGAATGCATAGTGAGACCCTGTCTCAAAAGACAAAAAAAAACGTTTTTATGGTTGCCCTCAAAGCAGACAGATGGCGGGGAGATTAGGGTGTTTTCTTAGTTTCTATGACTCACCTTAGGGAGGAGAAATTTTAGCTTCTTCTGAGGCCTAGTTTGGAGAGAAAAAGGAGCAGATGAAAGAGAAGCAGAAGAAGATGGACAGACAGACAGACAGATGAATATTTCCAGTCCTGGTGCTGAGAAAGGATGCTTCCACTCTCATGGCCCTGAATGAAGTTGTTCCACAGCGGCCTCAGATCCAAGGACAAGAGGCCAGAGCCTTTAACTTTACTGTTCTGGTCATGATAGTCAGGACCCCGGCACACAAACCAGCAGTAAATCTGAGATAGCACAGAGAGGAGGCAGGGATTCTGAGCTGGGAGTGTCCACCACGGAGCTGGTAGGAAGCTGCGCTTTCCTGGAAACTCCACAACCCACCGTGACTTCCAGGGTGCTGAGCACCCTGGGGAATGGCCGAGCGAGACCCAGGCCAGACCTCTGATCTACAGAGAATAAATTTCCACCACTACATTTTGGTCATTTGTGACAGCATCAAAAGAAAACTAATATGCTATGCAAATAATGAACTAAAACAATAATGTTAAACTCTAGCTGGATATGGCTGCCTGCGTTAAATGAGTTAAACAGGGGTTGGTCAAGCTGGGCATGATTACATGCCAGCACTCTGGGAGGCTGAGGCAGGAGGTCACAAGTGCAAGCCCAGCCTGGGCAAGTTACTGACTTAAGGAGACCCTGGCTCAAAATTTTGAAAAATTAAAAAGGGTTCGAATGTAGCTCAATGTCAAGGCCCAAGGTTCAACCCCCAATAAGGAAAAACAAAAAAAGGCAATATATATGTTACCTTTTTTGTTTGTTTGGTTGTCTTTTTTAGTTTTTTGAGACAGAGCTTCACTACATAGTTCAGCCTGGCCTTGAGCTCACTCTGCAGCCCAGCCTGGTCTCTAACTGGTGATCCTCCTGCCTCAGCCTCTGATCCCGCCTGCAGATCAACAAGTTTAGAGAGACATTGAGACAGCAATGCCTGTCACTCGGCTCCCTACAAGCCTCCTCAGAATGCTGCCATGAAGCGTGTTTCTTAAAGTGGCTGTGGTGATGTGACAGCTGCACCTTCCATACTGTGTCATAAGACGGGAACTTCACACCTGTGAGCTCCTTCCCTAAACTGGAAACTTCAGTTTAAACGTGAGACAAGCTTGGGCAACTCCAAGCACAGAAACATCTGTGAATTGCAGGCCAGTGGTCCTCAAACCGCCAAGGACTGGAGGCCACAGAGACACTGAGAGACGGTCAGGGACCAGGGGAGGCCAGAGACGCCCCAGCCATTCGCTGGACAGTTACAGAAAAGTGTGCTCCAGCTGAATGAAACCTGATTCCCAGATCTCCCTAAGGTTTCAGAACTGCCTTCCCTGCTTCTGGGTGTTGGCTTGGGGAGGGGACCCAGGGTCTCACGCTTGCTAAGCAAATGTCCACCCCCTGGGCTGCTCACTCAGCCTGGGCCTGCTGAGTTGTTTTGCTGTTGTTTGTCTTTCTGGGACAGGATCTCCCATGTAATTCAGGCTGGTCTTATAGCCCAGACTAGGCTGGAACCTGCTGTGATCCTCCTGCCTCAGCCACCTGAGTGCTGGGATTATAGACGTGGGCCTCCCATACCTGGTTTGGCCTGCCGGGTTTTAACAAATATCCCACAGCCTTAAAAGATGCTAACGAGAGGGGACACTGTAGGTGGAGCGTACAGAAGCTATATGAGTTGAGCCACTTTGCAACGAGGCCAGAATTACTGTGGGATGGGGGAGTTGCTCAGTGGTCCAGCATTTGCCCAGCAAGTTCGGTCCCCAGCAACACAAACAAGACACAAGCAAACAGCATGGAAGTCCACAAAGACTGTGCGCTCCATTTGTATGAAATGCTCAGAACAGACAGAGCCATGATGGCAGAGAGGGGGCTGGGGTTTGTGGCTGGGGAGGCAGGAGTGAGGCGCTTCTCCGGGGGTGGTGAAATTCTGAAATTAGCTGGCGGCGATGGTTGCACAACTCTGTCACAGGACTAAGATTACATACGAGGTGTGATAAAACAATAGGGTGAATATATAGATTTTTAAAAACATATAGTGTTTTTAAACATATAGTGTTTTATAAAAACATATGGAGTTCAAGGGCAGCCTGAACTATACAGCAGACCCTGTCTCAAATCAAGCAAAAAATGAAAATCAAAAGCAGACCCATCGCCACCGTTAATCCCCCACTGACTCGCCCACACTCACCCTGCAGAGCCGGTTTCTTTTTTTCTCTGTAATAAACCTTTGCTACCATTCGCGCTTCCTTGACCATTTCTTGGCTCAAGACAGAAGGAAGCTAAAGCCAGCAGGAGACTCCAGCACCCTGGGGTCAGTGAAATGCAGGGAAAGGTAGCTGGAGAAAACCTCACAGGGTGCCTTACGCACTGGATCTGGCCCCGTGCAACCTCTGGTGCCTCCCCAAGCCCAAGTGACCAGGAGAGGGAATGTTCCACTGTTCCAGGACGCTGAGTTGGGCACAACAGGGCAACTAAGACATTCATGGAAGAGGACTTGCAGAAGGACTTTGGAGAGTGTCCAGGACGATGGGATAAATGTGCTGAAGGCAAGGGGTGGGGACTCAAAGGGCTCTCACGGTCCTGTGTCTTTTACTGTAATACATTTCTTGGGATCCTTTTTCTTTTTTAGACAGGGGCTTGCTATGCACTTCAGCAAAGTAAGCCGGCCTTGAGCTTACTTTGTAGCCCAGTCCGATCTCAAACACGCAAGGATCCTCCTGCCTCAGCCTCTCGAGTGCTGGGATTATAGGCGTGAGCCACCACGCCCATCTGGGAGTTTGCTGTGTAACTCAGGCTGCACTTTAACTCACTATGCAGCCAAGGCTGGCCTTCAATTTGTGGTAATCCTCCTGCATAGCAAGACCGTATCTCGTAAAAGAAAGAAAAGAAGGAAAAAGAGAAGAGAAGAGAAAAGAAGAGAAGAGAAGAGCAGAAGTGGAGAGGAAAAGGCTGCTCCCACCAGCACACCCACGAGGCCCCAGTGACTCGCTGGACAGGTCAGCGCCTCCTCTGCGGTGTTCTTATCAGAAACTCCATCTGCCTCTCGTCAGGCCTCTGGAGTTCAGTTACAGGAACTAGGGGACAGCAGGGACAAAGCCGGGGAAAAGCGGGGTGCAGGACATCCTCAGCGATGGCTGACCCCGTTTCTGCAGCAAGGCCAGGAAAGGAAACAAATAAGTAACTTGAAGGGATAAAGACAACCCGAAAGAAAATGTGATAATTCCAGCACTCCAGAGGCTGAAGCGGGAGAATTACTGCCTGTTGAAGATCAGTTTAGGTGGGCAGGGGCTTAGCTCAGTGGTGTAAGCACCTGCCTGGCAAGTGTGCGGCCATGAGTTCAATCCCCGGTACAAAAATAAAATCTGGAGTTGCCCATGCTGGACTCAGTCTTGTGACCCTCCTGCCTCGGCCTCCCTGAGGGCTGGC